GTCAGGCCATGACTTGGTGTCCTTGAGATACTTATGCCATCCTCTCCTTTCTGTAGGGAGACTGGACCCATTCAAACGCTCCTCCTCCCGGTGACTGATGGCCCCAATGGGTTACAGAGGGAACTGGGGAATATCCAGGGGGGCTTGCGGCATGGTCCTGTCAAGTCTCATTATATCCTGGAACTAAAGGGCAGCGAAACCTTTGGACAGGATCGTACCTATAGGGCTTCTCTTGACCCACTCACACCCACAGGCGCCCCCCGACCTGAGCGACGAGCTGGCCACGCCCCCCAGCCATTGACTTTGCTCGTCAAAAGTTTGCAAAAGGGAATCACATGACCCTGGGACCACCAGAAATATGAATCTGGCCAAGCTTCCGAACGTAAACCACATTCGGGAATGCTGCAACGGTCATAACTCTGAGAAATTGTCATAAGTCACATTTTTCAGTGCCGTTGTAACTTTGAACGGTCACTAAGCAAACTGTTGTAAGTCGAGGACTACCTGTACTTTATCCCTTTTTCCATTTTTTATTTTTTTTTGGTCATCGGGTTTTTCACACCTTGCTAGGCGACTGGTGGTAGTTGAATATGGCCTTATCCTAAAAGTGGTACGATCGGTGAAAAGGTTGAAAAGTCCTGAATTAGATCCCTCACACTTCTGGCTTGTGGAAATCTCCAGGATGGTATCAGAAAGGGGTCATTTCTGGGACTTTTCAAGGCCCCGATTCACCCCCTACTCAAAAATCATCTCTTGATCCCACTTGTCTGGGCCATTTTTTATCCCGTTTCCCATCTTCCCTTTCGGGGGAAGCTGGTAGAAAAGGTGGTTTCAGATGCAAGAAATCAGGAGCAAAGGTTCGCATTGGCTGTTTCCATCTCAAGTAGGATCACAGATTGAGGAAACGTTTAAGATCTAAATCTATGCCTCTGTTCAGAACGACGCAGAATTAACGTCCAAGCTCTTTTACATCCAGAGGGAATGATCTCTATTACTCAATGCACAAACCCTGTCAAGGTCCATCATGCTGTCCTGCCATTCTTTGAAAGGGGGGGGAGGTTTGCTGGCATTTGTGCTTGCTTTTTGCTTTGCTAATTGCTTGGTAATTTAGGGAGAGAGATATCTACGGAGACAACAGAGTGGACTCTCTCCCAGCCAGTTTTCGCCAGACTTCAAAGCGGAGGGTGAACTGCTATCTCCCAGCACCTCAGAGAATCTCAAAACAACCTTTCAGCATCACATTGGCTGCCGGTGGACTGGTTAGGGGGGCTGTGGGGTTTGGGAAACGAAGAAATGCCTCTGGGTTTCAGACTTCACCTTGTCTTCCTGTTAGACACAAAAATAGTCACAAATTGAAATCCACTCTGAGTTACAAATAGAAAAGAAGTTTATTAGACTTGACAACAAAGTCTAAAAAAATGACGGTTTGCAAAGCGTGGTGGATTCAGGAAGGCAATGCAATGTAGCCAAGCACTGAACCACACCCCAAATTCCAAAATCACATATTATTATACATCCTATCGNCCTGTTTGCTTACATTATACTAATAAGATCCCTCCCCTATTATCCTATATGAATTCTAGAGGAGAGATGTCTCCCATCTTCTACACCTGTTAGATCAGGTAGGGGGTACCAGGCACCAGAAGGTACTTAAAAACAATTCCTAGATGGTGACTCACACTGGGCCCCATGGTAACTCCTGTTCTCCCCCCTTCCTCCATCTGAGGCTTGTATGTTCCCTATATACTCAAAGCATCTACTCAGGCAATTGATTATACAATGATTTTTACATTTTTACATTTTTTTACATTTTATTAAATTTATACCCCGCCCTTCTCCCGTAGGACTCAGGGCGGCTTACAGCCAGTTAAAAACAATTTAATACAATACAATAGAAGTTTTTAAAAAATCATTAAGAATAAATATCTACTAAATATCTACTAAAATTTGGCTAAAACCAATTTAAAATACCCCTAGGCCAGTCCTGCCCGCTGGAACAACCAGGTCTTAAGGGCGCGGCGGAAGGAGGGGAGATCCGGAATGACCCGGATCTCTGGGGGCAGCTCGTTCCAGAGGGTATATATGATAATTATAAAATATGTTTACATGATGATAATACTAAAACCATATATATATTTATTTTTAAATTTCCTCCACACAATCAGCTGTTTCTCCGTAAAAGTTCTTTTGATCCAACTAGATGGAATCAGAGTCTTCCTTTGCTGAGGGACCAGCTGAGGCAGTTCCTTACAAGCCCAAAGCAGAAGCCCACCAAAAAGAGTCAGTCTTTGTGCCTTTAAGCCCTCCATGGATACAGGCTTATCAATTCAAAGGGTCTAGTGAGCTTCAGAGAATAATGTATAGCACTTCTTCCACTGCTTATTAAACTCAGCCCTTCTCTTTGCTCGGAAGTGTTGATAAGAATATTAGGCGCATTCTACCAAATAACAGCTGCTAGCCAGGGGTATGTAGGTATGCATTATATTTATACAACCTCACACTTTAATAAAAGCAGAACACAACACAGAAGCCAGTAAAGAGACTCCCAGCTCCTCCAGACGTAACATATTCCCACTTTCTAGAATCATAGAGGGTCTCCTGTTGGAGGAGGGGGTTGGACTAGAAGACCTCCAAGGTCCCTTCCAGCTGTGTTGTTCTGTTATCTGATGAGAGAACTTCCTGCCTTCATCTAAACATGCCTGGAGAAGGTCACTGGGCTCCAGCATCAGATTCCCTCAGGCATTGAGTGCAGAAACAACAGGAACATTAAAATGATTTCACATCTTAGAAAAGGGGCTTTGGGGGAGGTGGGGGACATAGAAGTTCAAAAGCCTCTGAAACTGCCAGCTCAGGATCCTCTCTCAGCCCGGGAGAAGCTGGCTGGAGGCTGAGAGAGCAGCAGGAACCCCTCCAGCCTTTGGGGGGGGGGGCGTAGGAAGCACGGAGAGCCCCCCAAGGCCGAGGGTCTCGGGCCAGGCTCCCCGGGGAGAAAGGGGCGCATGGGGGGAGAAAAGCGGACCCCAAAATTCAATTCCCCTTTGCATCATCTCCGCGGCGGGAATAATACCCCCCTCGCTACTGCGCAGGCGCTCTCTGGCCGATTGAAAGAAAGCGACACGCCGATTGGTCGTTCTGGGGAGGGCGGCGATTGGCAGGAGGACTCCTCCTTCAGAGGAAGAGGCGGAGCGTCGAGGACAAGCACGCGAAAAGAGGTCCCGCCTCCACTTCCGGATATAAAACGGGCAACGAGCGATCTTCCTGAAGCGGCGATAGAGGAGCCGGGATGCACTTTTGGCGCAGGGGATGCTGGGAGTCGCAGTCGAGTAGGGCGTCTTCTGGGGGAGGGAGGCCTGGTCCGTGAGAGGCGGAGGCTTCGGCCTTCCTCCCCGGGGAGCGTCTGGGGCCCCTCGGGAAAGGGACGGAGCCGTGACCCGCCTCTCCTTTGCTCCTGCAGGAGGACGGGCGAGCCCTGCGGAGGAAAGGGGCGCTCCCCGGGAGGAGACGGCGGGGAAGGCCCGACAGGGATGAGCCGAAGGGGACTCCGGGAAAGGAGGCCGCCTGGAGGGAGAAGCGGGGAGCAGGAAACGGGCGGAGACCCCGAGACGGGCCTGGAAGGCGGAGGGTCCTTCGGGACAGGCGGAAGACTCGGAAACGCCACAGAATCCACAAGAAATATGAATGCCCGGAATGTGAAAAATTCTTCAAAAGAATTGACCATTTTCAAAGCCATCTAAGAATCCACTCAGGAGAAAAGAAAGGAGAAAAGAAAAACGAATGCCCGGAATGTGGAAAAACCTTCAGAAGAATTGACCATTTTCAAAGCCATCTAAGAATCCACTCTGGAGAAAAGAAATACGAATGCACAGACTGTGAAAAACCCTTCAACTCAAATGGAGATCTTGAAAAGCATCTAAGAATCCACCCAGGAGAAAAACCTTATCAATGCGTGGAATGTGGAAAGAGCTTCGGTCATATGAGCAGCCTTTACGTACATCAAAGGATCCACACTGGAGAGAAACCGTTTAAATGCCTGGAGTGTGGAAAGAGCTTCAGACATAGGAACAGCCTTTACGTACATCAAAGGATCCACTCAGGAGTAAAACCGTATAAATGCCTGGAGTGTGGAAAGAGCTTTATTGATGGTGGAAACCTCTATAAACATCAAAGGATTCACACCGGAGAAAAACCATATAAATGCCTTGAGTGTGAAAAGTCCTTCAGTCAGAGCAGAAGCCTTTGTGCACATCAAAGAATCCACATAGGAGAGAAACAGCATAAACACTTGAGGTGTGGAAAGAGCTTTAATGAGAGGAGAACAGACAGACAACTCAGCAATCTCCAAAGAATTCTCCAGGGAGAAAGGAAATATCAATGCACAGAATGTGAAAAATCTTTCAAAACTAATAGAGATACTGAAAACCATCTAAGAATCCACACAGGAGAAAAAACATTTAAATGTCTGGAGTGTGGAAAGTGCTTCACTCGGACAGGACACTTTTATACCCATCAGAGGATCCACATAACAAAAACCATAGGAATGCTTGGGAGTGTGGAAAGAGCTTTACTGTGATTGGACAGCTCCGCAAAAATCAAATGATCTACACTGGAGAAAAACCACATAAATGTCTGGAGTCTGGAAAAAGTTTCTGTAAGAAGGGAAGGCTTTCTAAGCATCAAAGAATCCATTCAGGAGAAAAATCATATAAATGCCTTGAGTGTGGAAAGAGTTTTACCGACAGTTCACACCTTCATCGGCATCAAAAGATTCCCATGGGGGGGGGGGGGAATGCTAAATATGCCTGTGTGTGGAAAGACCTTAAGTCATGATACATGTCTAAGTAATTGAATTGAACTCATTGAATTCAATTGAATAATTTGTTTAGCCAAGTGTGATTAGGCACATAAGGAATTTGCTTCCGGTGCAGAAGCTCTCGGTGTACACGCAAAGCAACAGAATTAATGACAATAGTAATAGCAACAGACTTATATACTAGTTCACAGTGCTTTACAGCCCTCTAAGTGGTTTATAGAACTAGCATATTGGCCCCAACAATCTGGGTCCTCATTTACCGATCTTGGAAGGACGGAATGCTGAGTCAATCTTGACCCAGTGGAATTCGAACTGTCAAACTAAGGACACCTGGCAGGAAGCAGAAGTAGCCTGCAATACTGCATTCTAATCACTGCGCCACCAGAGGTGGAAGGGACCTTAGAAGTTTAGTCCAATCCGCTGTTAAAAGAGGAGACCCTATACCAGAGGTCTCCAACCTTTCTGGGCTCGCAGACCAGAGGGAAGGAGAGTAGCTTCCAAATTGGCATGCGTGCACATGCGAACGCAAACAAGGCCACACACAATGGCGTGGCCCCATTCATGCATGCGACATGACAGCCCCACCCCAAAAAATGGTTATAAAAACAGGCACAGATTAGAAAGGGAGAAACAATACATTTCTTTGGGGACCTGACAGGTCCGTTTCTAAAATCTTTCGCTCTCTCATTGGATGTTGACTTTTTGTTGGAAGTATAGATAAAAACACCACTCGTGCTCCTAATTCTTTCACTGTCTTCCCTAGCTGTTTATAATCTCGTTACTATTTTTAGTTTCATTGTTGCGTCATTGGTCCCCCATGTGTAAGGGAAGAAAGGGGTAGTCATCCGTGGGGTTGATTATTTTAGTAAGTTTCTCAGTTACATCTTTGATTTTTGCTCCAGGGAGATAACGTGCTTCTCTAGATTGACAGTTCGGTCTGCAAGACTGTAGTTTCTGTTCCCCAAAGAACTGAATCTCCTATCACCAATATTCATCTTTTTTCCCCTAGGGAAGGACAGCATTCCTTTCCCAGGAATGGTGGGTTGAACCTCCTTTTTAAAAACAATTGATGACTGCTCTTTTATAGGTGTCTGCATATTTTTTCCCAGGGGGAGGCTATGAAAGCGATTGTTCAGTTCTAGAGGTGCTTCACTGGAGTGGGCTAGGGTGGATAGTGGGGGCTTTGCTCCTGGTTGCTGTTTTCTTCTAAGAGTGGCATGTTTCCATCCGTCTTCCTCTTTGGGTTCATATATGGGGTCATTTTTTGGGGGGGGGGAAAGCTGTTTATTCCCTATTTTGTTCAATTTGGATGTATCAGTTTTCTTTTTGTTCATATATGGCAGTGGTGGCGAACCTATGGCACGGGTGCCAGAGGCGGCACTCGGAGCCCTCTCTGTGGGCACACATGCTGTTGCCCCTGCCTTGCCTCCGCCCACGATCCCCTCACCAGTAGCCTCCCTGGAGAAGAGTCGCCCCTGAGCGTGGCCCACGCGGAGCAGCGCAGCCAAAGACATGGCAGCCAGGCAGTGTAGACAAGACTCTGCCCTCGCCCCATCGTGCACAGTTGATGCTGCGGGGCGCGGGCAGAGGGCGTAGCTGCCATGGCGCTGCTGGGCTGCCTGGGCGATCTTCGGTTGGGCCTGGAGGGGGTGAGTGGCCCTGTGGGCAGGCAGGATGGGACGGAGTGTGGGCGGGGCAGGAGTGGGGCCAGTTTTTGGGCACTCGGTCTCTAAAAGGTTCGCCATCACTGATATATGGGATCATTTTTTTTTAAAGAAGCTGTTTGCTCCCTATTGTGTTTAATTTTGATGTAGTTTTCTTCTTTAGGTTGGGGATTTTCGCTTTGTTCATTGAGTTCCAGACTGGCTAGAGTTGCTTCTAGACCCTTTACTTTTTTCTTCTAGTAATTCATATAATTTACATTTGATACATATATAGTTTGAGTGTTCTGTGGGCATACAGTAAGCTCAAACCTTTGACATAATTTGCAAGTCACTACAATGTCAGTCTCTTATGTCCATGATTTTTGTGTTATAAATAAAAATTTTCCCCGTTGCGAATTGTCTATTTAACAATAGTTTACAAATGTTCTTGACCCTGACATCCCTCAGCCCATCTTTCAAGAGCCGATCGGGCAGTGGGCAGTCAGTGAACCTGCAAGCCAGTCGCGGAACCCCTGGACGTACTCGGCCACTCCTCTCCATCCCTGGCGAGTGGTCTTGATGCGATCTCTAGCTTGATGGCTGGCCAGGGGTCACCATGGGCCCTTCCAGAGCCATGGTGACCCATCTCACTTTGGCACCTTCTGTGGTTCTTTCTGGACCATACTCCTACATGTAGGTCCAAACCTGGGCCAAGAAGCCCAGTTGCTGGGGGTCCCTGTTAAATTTCACACCCACCAGTTCTGTCTTATGACCCCTCCTCCTCATCCTTGGTAATCCTGCAAGGGTGGCCCGTTGAGCTGCCACCCCTGATGCTGGGGCCACAGAGATTGCTGCTGTTGTGGGGCCGGCCACGGTCCTGTCTTCGGTGGCAGATGTTTTCGCCCCATCAGCCACTGCGGCTGGAGGTGGAATCTTAAGTTTCCCACGCAACAAGACAAAACTATTTCCTTCATTTCCCAAACCTCCCACCATGACCAGTTCAACTCCAGCCAATGTGATGCTTCCGAGATATTCTGAGAGCGCTGAGGTGTTTGGGCTGGTAAATTTCCACACTCGGAGTAAACGCCCTTGAAGATGCCAGGCACAAACGGGTTCCATGTTGATCTGCTCTTCCTCAGCTGTCCTTCCCCCCCACACACACACACACTAATTCCCACAATAGGTTTATTGCTCATTTGTCCCCCTCCTAGTCACTTGAGGCAGGACACTTGACAGGGTCCTTGGGAAAGAAGGTGGAAAGGGGAGGCAAAAAAGAATCTGGGTTTGGCGAGTGCTGATGGAACAACTGAGGGGGGGGGAGGGCTGACCCAACCTGGCTTCCTGCTGCAATGTATTTTGCAGATACCCTTCATGACAGTTTGATGTATTTTGCAGATATCCTTCATGAATGTAGACCACTAAAACTCTAATCCACTTCTATCTTATCAAGTGGTCGGTTGTCGTGTACTTTACCAAATGCCTTAGTGAAGTCCAAGTAAATTATTGTGGTTTTTATTATCGCCTGTTCACCGCCCTGAGTCCCGTAAGGGAGATAGGGCGGTATATAAATTCAATAAATAAATAAATAAATCTGTTTTTGACCAATCCATGCTGGCTCCTAGTTTATAACTTGGCTTGCCTCTAGGTGTTTGCAGATTCGTCTCTTGGTCATCTTTTCCAGAATCTTTCCAGGTACTGATGTCAGGTTGATAGGTCTGTGGTTTCCTGGAAGCTTGTTAAAAGAGATCCAACCTAGAAGTGAAGAGACATTTTCTGACGGAACAATTAATCCATGGGATAGCTTGCCTCCTTGGGATTCTGGCTGCTCCATCACTGGAGATTCTCAAAAATGTACTGAATAGCCATTTGAGCGGGATGATATAAGCTTCTGCCTTGAGGAAGGGGGTGGACTAGAAGACTTTGTAGGTCCCTTCCAGTCCTATGATTCTATGACTATGAAAGCCTATTTTCCAGAATCACTTTATTTCAGCTGAGCAGACAGAGATATTGTAGCTATGCTCCTGTGATGGAGATCACCCAACGTGGAAAACTGACCGTTTGAGATTATTTTTAAACTTGGTTTGGTTTGTCATGATCTGGGGAGTCCTATGGCTAGATGAGTTTGTCAAGTTTAAAAAGTTTTGCTAATTTAGAGGTTACGGATGCTATGTGACCCCAATCCATAAAAGAAAAAAAGGATCAGCCCGGCCTTTTAACATCAATAAGGAATGAAAGATGGAAGTCCATCAAGATCATGTGAAGTGTTAGTACCCCTTTATGCTGCTTTGGTAGGACCACACTTGGAATACTCTGTCCAGTTTTGATCACTGCGATACAAGAAGTATTTAGCTTTGAGATGCTAGAAAGCACATAGAAGGGCAATGAAGATGATTAGGCTAAAATATATGATGGACGTTTGCAGGAAATGGCTACATCGCTAGTCTAACAGAGAAGGATTAGGGGTGACATAATAGTAGTCTTTGAGGGGCTGCCACAAAGAAGAGGGGGTCAATTTATTTCCCAAAGTATCAGAAGGCAGGACAAGAAGCAACGGATGGAAACTGATCAAGGAGAAAAGCAATCTGGAATTAAGAAGAAAATTCCTAACAGAACAATTAATCAGTGGAACAACCTGCCTCCAGAAGTTGTGAACGCTCCAACGCTGGAAGTTTTTAAGAAGAGACTGGACAGCCATTTGCCTTAAACTATACTTAAATTATGCTTGAGCAGTACATTGAATAGGTAGAAGACCACCAAGGTACTGTCCAACTGAGTTATTCTGTAGTTCTGCAAGTCCCTTCTGGGATTTCTTCCAAAGGAAATTCAGGATTATGCCTTCCCAGTGACATGGGGGTACGCTGTCTCCTTGTTCATTGGACTTGGTCGTTCTGGCTTACAAGTAAGAATAGACTTGTATGTTCAGCCAGAGGGTCACAGCTTCTCTCAAGAGAAGCCTATCCTCCCCTAATACAGTCCAAAATACTTGATCATCAATTTGGATCCAAAATGGTGGCAGCCTTAAACATTCAAGGAACAACCCAAGAAACATTGATATTAAAAACTAGCATAATGTGTAAATTGAGAAGCATCTGAGACACAAGGGTGCCATCTGAGGGCAGGACCCAATAAGCAATGCCTAACTTCTCCAAACAGGAAAACCACCACCGTATGAGTGTATATGTGTGTGTGTAACTATCAGTAACTAGACCAGGGGTAGGCAACCTTGGCTCTTTTATGACTCGTGGACTTCAACTCCCAGAATTCCTGAGCCAGGCAAGCTGGCTCAGGAATTCTGGGAGTTGAAGTCCACGAGTCATAAAAGAGCCAAGGTTGCCTACCCCTGAAGTAGACTGATCCAGACTCAATAGACAAAATGCACTGCAAAGTCAGATAATTAGTTTTTAACCCCCCCCCTTTCAGTGGGTGGTGGGAGACTTTTATTTTACAAAAAGGAGAGATTCCAAATAACAATAAAAATTTCCAAATCGGAGCCAAAACAGGTCACACCTTTCCCTTCCTTCTAAGCACTCACATTTGACCAGTTTTTTCATCTTTTCCTTTGCTGGACTGAAAAGGGGGGGGGGCTCAGCATGTCACGTGAGAAGCCCAAATTTCCAACTAAGTTTCTGTCCAGAACATTTGGACAGAAATGGATCTTCCGAGTTGGGGGGCTATCTGAAGACGCTCTCAGTCCTAAAGGCAGTGGAATCCTAGATCGGAAGGGGCCTTAGAGATCATCTCGTTCAACCCCTGCCCAGGTGAGAATCCAACACTCCTGAACCACTGATAGATGGACGTCGAGAACCCCACGAGGCCTCTCCCACTTCCCAGGACAGCCTATTCTGGTAGTAAACTGCTGTTGCCGTAAGAATGATAATCCAAAATCTTATTAAAATCCTGATCATTTGAACCATTGTTTCTTGTCCCACTTTCTGAAACAGAGAAGAAATGAAACGCCAATCCAGGATGAAGGCACAGAAGAATCACATTAACTGCATGGAGCTTGGATTGATAGCTTTGGTTTAGTGGTGTCTGTTTCTCCCTAGTATGCAGGCCTAGTGAGATGGAACTACACAATCAACCCAGCTGAAAATGGGATCTCCTGCCTGGGTTGCCTCACATAGGACTGTTTCTCTTGCTCCAAGACAGCAACAACACCTTCCTAGCTTGAAAGCGCGTGTA